AGGAAGCCTGGGAAGCTGGGGTGGAGATAACAGGTTACTTGGGCTAGATACAGACATTACACACAAACTGGTTTAAGTGATCAGAAACTGCTTAAACCTGTAACAGAACAGACGTTCAGTGGCCATAAACCAGTTTGAAAATGGCTGAAATGGGTTTGAAATAAACCTGGTTGAATATAGTATCAGACTTAACTGATTTGGGTTAAACCAGTTTATGCAATGTCTGTCTGAGACCCCTTCCTGGTTTAACTTAAACCAGATTCCCCTAGCATCCCAGATTCTTTGCAGCCCTGGGTGGGGCTCTGTTCCGGAGCAGGGCTGGCCCCAGCCCTCTTCTCCCTAGCTGGAGCTCCAGCAGAGCTTGTCTGCTTGGCTTCTCCCTGCTGCTTCCCCCCTTCTCTCCCACAGAATGGAGTGTAGCCAGCATGTGGTATTCTAGCTAATGCTGAGAGGCATCTGTGTAAGGCAAGCAAGACAGTGTCCACTTAGGGTTTTTTGGAGCTAATCAGCAGGTCAGCTGGTAATGTCCCTCCATTCCTTCCTTGGAAAAAGTTGTTTAAGAAGAGTGTGAACTAATGATAGAGGCTTTTGTTTTCTTGATGTGGTTCTAAATGCTGTATTATCAACTCCCTAATGCTAGTCAGGAGCAGCAGGGGGCAGGGGACACCCTCCCTAATCAGAGCATTTTGCATGCCTTCCCTCAGCTCAGGACTGTAGAAGGGAAGAGAGGGTGGATCTAGCATCTCCCCCTCTCCCAGCTTCTAGTCTGAGCCGCTGCATGGATGTGCCTGCATTGCTTTAGTTCAGAAAGAGTGTCTGTATGGCTGCAAATTAGTTCAGCCATACCAAGTTAAACTAACCTGCAAGGATTGAATCAATTCAGGCTCAGGCGTTTTGAATGTTTGTCCATAGCCTTAAAGTTTTTAAACCTGGCCCCAGCCCGCATTGCCTGCTCCCTCCTTCCCAGTGTGCTGGAGGCTTCAACAAGCTAGAAAACCTGTTGCTGCTGCCCATGGCTTCACATGGACTGTGTCTGGTGGAGAACCTCCCCCATCAAAGGCCCCAGGGAGTAGCTCCTAGCAGCATCTGTGTCCAAGTGCGTCTGTGCACAACCCCTGGCTCCCTGTGCTGCTCTGGGCAGGCAGCTGCAGCCCTCTCCCATGGCATGGCAGGTTAAGGCAAGAACTGACCTGGGGCTCTGCACACCACAGCTGAGACTAGGTATTTGTTATCGGTTAACTGTTTGATATAATTAGAGGAAGTTAAATGGGTATTTTTTTAAACAATATTAACATCCCTAGTGTACACACACATATACATATGCATGATCAGATGCCTGAAAAGCATGATTTACGAGGAAAAGCTGAAAGAATTAGGATTATTTCACCTGGAAAAGGTAAGACTTGCAGGTGGAGGGGGGGAAGGGACATGGAATTTGATAACAAATTCAAGTATCTGAAAGGCAGTTATAGAGAGGATGGAGGTCTATTTTCTATGGTTGTAGGGGACAGGACTAGAAGCACTGGCCTCAAGCTGCAGCAGAAGAAATTTAGATTGGAGACTGGAAGGAACTTTCTGACTATAAGGCTGGTCAAACATTGTGGAACAGGCTACTTTGAAGTTCTGGAATCTCCATCCCGGGAAACTTCCAAGAGCAAATTGGATGGATAGATTTGTGGCTGGGGTGGCTTAGGGAGGGATGATCCAACCTTGAGATGGGGCTTGAGTAGGTGACTTTAAGTCCCTTCTAGCCTAACTTTCCTTTAATCCTGTGATCAGTCAGTAAAAGAAGTAAAACCAATCATCCAGTTAAAAGGTTTGTGACTAGTACAAAATGCATAACTCTTTGCAAGGCTACTTAGCCTAAAGGCTTACGTGCTCCCTGCATAACCCCCAAATCCTGCAGTTCTGGGACAGAAGCAAGAAGACCATCAACTCCTTAAAAAGGTTGCCAAGGCCGCAGGCACCCTGCAACATGTTCAATTAATGACATGATAAAAGGAGGGATAAGCCACAAAGTTGTTCCACAAATTATGTGTAGTAACTTTGTAGCTCATGCCATTAATTGAACATGTGACCAGGGGCCTCTGTGGCTGGGAGCCCCATCAGCTGATTGGGGCCCCCAGCTAGGGGTCCAGTGCACCCCTAAGCCTAAGAGCCTGCAGCTGATGAGGACATCTAGCCATGGAGATGCTTCAGGTGTTCCTGTAGCTGGGAGATCTGTCAGCTGATGTCTGGAGCTCCTATGTGGCTGGGAGCCTGCATTAGCAGCAGGATCTCAGTTGTAGGAGTGCATACTGCACTTCTGCATCCACAGTAAGGCATGATGAGATCTGATGCATCATCCCACAACCACTCTTCCTGCCATGCACATGTGGCAAGGCAGGAAACACAATTGTGGGGATCATGCATCAGATCCCACTGCACACTTACCTTCATGTCAGGAAGGGCCCTAAGGCTAAGTATAGAGAGTCAAAAAGCCTGAGGCTGAATCAGTTCAATCTTTGCAGGTTAGTGTAAGCTGTGTAGATTGAACTGATAAGCAAGTGAACAGGCATTCACTTTTGATTCTGAAAATGCAGGCACATGCCTGCAGTGGCCCAGTCTAGAAGCTGGGGGTGTTAGAGCATGCCTCCCTGCTCGGCTGGAGTAAGCAGCTTGGGCCAAGGCTAGCCTGCTCACCCTGCAAGAGGTGGGTGACTTGCAGGGGATGTGCAAAGTATCCTGGGATGCTGGGGGACTGAATTAACTTGAATCTGGAGAGGATGTGGGACAGAAGTTCAATAGACCAATATCACCTAACTCAGTTAAATCTGATACTACATTCATCCATGTTTATCTTAAACCTGCTTTGGCCATTTTGAAAGTGGTTTATGTGCACTGCACTTCTGTTGTGTTACAGATTTGAACGGTTTCTGATGACTTCTACTAGTTTATGTGTAATTTCTGTCCTCAGCCTAAGGGTCCTTCATAAACCTGTCTGGTGGGTACCCTCCAGAGCTCCAAGTTTCTTCCTGCTGTCTTGCTGCTAATCTCAAGGAACACACCAAGGTTTTTATGGAATAAACTCCTTACCCCTGCAAGCCTTAGCTCCAGTGCCCTTTTATGCTGTACCCTTTCTCTAGAGCGTACAACGTAAAAGGAATATCGCTCACCCAGAATTCAGTCTTTCCACAGGCAATTAGTAAAGAGACAAAACAACAAAAGGATATGTTAGAAGAAAAGAATTATACAAGGAAAACTGGCAATAGGTTTGAAAACAGAATAAAAAGACAAGTAAAGTTTCTTACCCTCTCATGTAGCTATACCCCAGCCCTCCTGAGAGTCTTGTCAGTATCTCCAGAACTCAGCAATCCTGATGATTCTTCCAGCTCTTGTTGCTGGGGCTTTGGGGAAAAAAAATCAAACATGTTGGCCACCTTACAGGTAGCTGTTAAAATATCTCTAAGCCAGCCCCTGCCCCCCAGGCCCTGTTTCCCATCAGCATTCCCCCCAATTCCTCAGGAGTCTCCAGAATTCTCCAGAAATTCTTCTCCTTGGGGCATCTGCCATTCATCCAGCTGATGGGCCATTTCTCTCTGATGCCTTTGCCATTGTGCAGTTGTTTTTCCCATTACAAGCAGACAATACCTTAGGTGTCCATTCCACTAATGGCCCCTTCTCTGTAGGAACAGAGAAGTGACAATTTGCTCCTGATTTGGCTCCTGAAAGCGCTCTACAGTCATGACCAAACACAAGTACATGACTGCAGAGGGCTTTAAAAGGGCCTGATCCCATGAAAATCGAACTCTTTACTATATGAGGGTTTAGATGAAGGTGCTCCAAAGCAGAGCACTTTCATGAACTTTTGTCCGTGCATGCCAGGAGCAGGGCTGGACTGATGCAACCCAGCCCTTCTCCTGGTGCTGTTTTATTGTTTGGGGGGGGGGGAGGATGCAGGGAGCTCATTTTGGAGGTTGCCCAGCTTGTGCAAGAGGGTGGAGTGGGTGGAATGGGGCCCCACTGAGGTGGGAGGGGCTCCAACACACTCATCCCCCCCACTTCAGCACAGCTAGGGAAGCCCCAGAATGGACCTCCCTTCCCTGCCTTCACCCTCTCCCTTAGACATAATGAGAGCTGGGAAAGAGGAGATGGAGGTAGGGGAAGAGGTTGCAGAGACATAGCTTCTCTCCCTGGAGCTCGATCACCTACCCTCCTGACTCAACAGGAAGCAAATATCCTGGTTTTTGCTTTTGTCTCCACTCCTCCCAGGCATGAGCAGCTTGCATGCTTGTGGCTGGGAGCAGCAGGCAAAGTGACTGGCTGTTGGGGGTCACATGCTGTGCAGGGCAGGGGCTCTGGGTTGGGAGTGAAGGGCACTGGCAGGGCTGTAGGAGAGGGCCTGCGGGGTACTGGCAGCTCTGGGCGACTGGGGCTTAGTAGCAAGGGGCAGAGGCAGGGCACAGGCATATCACTGCCCCCCCCACAATCACCTACCCCTCCTGTTCCTCCCCCCCCGCACTAGCTCCCATCTTCCCACAGGTGCCCTCTTTTTTGATCCTGGAAATACGGTAACCTTAATACTGCACTTTCTGTGAAGATAATTTACAAAGTAATCGTGGGCCTATAGAGCCACAGCAAACAACTGCAACAAACCGCTGAGGTGTTCTGGCTGTCTACTGTTAGTTTTTTATTTTAAAACAAGTTGCTTCTGTCCACTGAAATCAGGGGACTTTTCTGACAGCCACTGCATCACATTCTTATATAGGAAGCAAGAGGTAGTACAAACTTCATTGAAATGAAAAAAAAAATTATGGGGCTGATTGGAGACTACTAAGCATTGGGAAATGAATGACAAACTAGCAGGGGCTAAGAACAAGGTGATGTGATATGGAATGAAGGAAGGACAGTTAATACAGAGCGAAGTCTTGTTGCATGTTGCAGCAAGACTTTTGACAAACCTTGGCCAAAATTTTTTGGAGAATAGTAATAAAAGGAGGTTGTGCTTTCCCCCTAACCAGCTTAAAGATGGAGCCGAAGACCAAAGGATTAAAACAACAACAGCAGCAACATAAGAAGCTACTGGCTGCTATGCTTTCCCAGGACTCCTTTGATTCTGTTCAAAGTACAGCTCCTTCAGTGACAGAGGAAGATATTGACAATGAGGATGATGCAATGGAACTGCTGGGTAATCGAAAAAATTAATTTTACTTTTATTTATTTTTCATCTTTTTCTTATATTATAAAATGCAAAACAAAATCAGTGGAGAGCCTAATTCTCCTTTCTGGTATATAGATGAAAACCCGCAGTAACTGTATAGAAGTTACAGTTACTACAGATTTATTTACATCAATGACTTTAAAAACACATAGAAGAACAGTACAAAGTCTACCCCTAATGGTACATTCTAATTCCATCACTCTCCTGTAAAGGACTTAACAGTGTAGTTCAACTAAAATAATTATTTTAATTTTATGTTTTCCAAACATAAATGTGCTTGAAGCTTCTAATCATAAAAGGTATTAAAGCTGTCAACAGAGGACACAGTCTACTTCACAGGTTTTTTAACTCACTATGATCCAGTCTAGACCTCAATGGGAATTTTTGTTAGAGGTTAACTAGCTGCTAATGCATTGGTAAACATATATTATGGTTTACTCTAATCTGATTTTTAATTATAATTATTTAGTAGACTGCATTATGTGTTTAAACCTTATTCTAGAAGGCCATTTCCTTAAAAAAAACCTTTTTCATCCTGGAGTTCTGATTTTACTATCACTTGAGTCAAAGAAAAGGAATAGTTTAATAATATGATCGTGCTTGTCATATTTTTTCAAGGTCCTAGTTTAAAATGGTCAATAAGAACCACTAACTTCAGTGTTTTCCTATGTTTTATATTGCAGACTTTTATGTGGGATCAAAATGCAAAGCTCTTACATTTTGGGGAGCAATATAAAAATTCTTTTTAAGAGAAACTGAGCTACAGTCTAAAGCCCAATATGAAAATAGAAAGACATATGGCACATTATTCTATAGACTGCAACTCCGTAATTGATGTGCAATTATGTTGGAGTTACTTTGTTTATTACACTGTGTATTGCATTGTTATTTAATGTATAATTTCATGTACAGTCATTTCTAGTTTGATATCACTGTATTATTTTATCAGACAGCAATAATAGTAAGGCTTCATCACCCTTGGACAAGAATGAGCTAGGAGGCAGGAGCTGTTTCACCTACGTCATTCTGTTGTGGGTAGGGCTTTGCATGGAATGGGTTGGTGGCTCCAAAACCAATTTAGGGATTGTAAAGGACCTTCTAAAGGCCGAGACAGTCTCCACATACAGCTCCTGTTGCCTCTGCATTTTCTCCTCCCCGCTTGCCGCTGAGCACGTGGGGGGTGAGGGGGGTGCCCACACACACTCCTGTGGGATGCTCCATCTGTCCCACCATCGCAGTGTTCTCAGGCCATGCTGGTACCTAGAGGTATGTAGAAAAAACATTTTAAAGCTGTGTCTATGGCTGAATCACCAATTCTCTGAACTGGCATTGAATCTTCAGATTTAGATTCGGCTGAGTCGAATCAGGGACAGTGATCTGAATCAACAAATCGAATCACTGTCCCCAGTTCAGGCTGAATCTAAATCAGAATCTAATAGGGCCCATTTTGCACACCCATAATAAACAGTTGTCCATGAGTTCAGGGGATTCCAGATTTAATGGCTGAGTCCTAATGCCCTGTGTTTTCAAATGTGGCTAATATCCAGGAAGGGAGAACTGTGAGCAGCGATTCTTTCTTGCCCATTACAAAGTTGATGACCAGAACAAAGGACCAGACTTGAGTGAGAATTCAGCTTATTGTTAACATCTGCACTGGGACTGGGACAGCCTTGATCCTGATGCTGAAAATAGGCTGCTGGGGGAGCAGGTTGCAAAGGCTGCCAGGAGCCTGGCAATCCCTGTGCCTGGCAGTCCTTTCCTATAAAATGCTGGGCTACACACAGGTCTCAGTGTGCTTGAACCACAGGGGTGATCCCAGGATCCTGATTGGCTGTCCCAGATAGCCCCAGGTTTCAAGATGCTCCCTGATCCTGAGGTCCCCATGCCTTGGGGCATCTAGAAACCACATGTGCAGCTGGGCTGCTTGTACATTTTTTTTTTTTTAATGTCCCAGCATGGTGGGACCCTGTGATGAGGGAGTTCCTTAAACTGGACCTGAGCCTGACAATCGACTGGTTGTCAGCACTGGTCCCAACAGACCTGGTTCTGTGGCTGCTTCCATCCCAACCCCTATGATAAGGCTGGGACAGTTTTGAGCCATACTGGGATCTGTATCTGTCTGTGCCCGAATCTCGATGCTCAGCTGACCATTGGGATTGGACATGAGACGGACCCAGCATCCAGGACAAAGCTGCCCCCTTCCCAATCTCTAGTATCAGGCTGGAAGCAGCTTCACAATGGTGTAATGTGGATATGAGGAATTTTATGCCCCATCCCAGTCTGGCATGGCAAAATAGAAATTTTATGCCCCATCAGAAAATGTACAAGATTCCAATCTTGCCATTATTTTAACATCTGCCAGGGGTCTAACTGTCATTTTAGAGATAGATAATCATCAGTATACAGGTTAATTGGTTTTGCTGAAGCCTACCTAGGGAGCCAGTTGTTCACTTCCTACTCCTGTAGGCAGTCAAGTAAACTATTGCTTTTCTATCCTGTCCCTCCAAACCTTGGTGCATGTCACTCAGGTGTATAACTGATACAGTTTATGCCTAGAGCAAGCTTCTCCTGTATGTTAATGCCATTGAAATGTATGTGAAGCTGTTATTTTTAAAAGCCAAAATTCAGCAGTGAGAAAAGGAGATGAGATGTGTCTTGGGCATACCAGTACCTCTGCCCATGGAAGTGGCTTCTCCTAGAAGTGAAGCTCTTGCCAGCACCAACCCTACTCTGGTCCAACCTTACAGCTGTGTTTCTGGCCTGGTCTTGGACCTGCTTCAGGTGCAGTGTATAAAGGGAATGATGGAGGATGAAGGGCCAACCTGCTTCTATTCTGGTGGCCCTCCTCAGGTAGTGCTTGGGGCTTGTGTCTGCATAGCCACCCTTAGTTATGCTACTGATGTCACTGGCAAATGCTGGGGATAGCGTTTTTCTGATACCGCTGTCTCAGGACACAGGTTCTTTATTTTCATCAGAAGATATAGCACCATTGTTTTCATATTTCAGAACCCTTACAGAATCTGCTTTGGCAGCATCATTCTTTCCAGGAATGTCTAGTGATCCTGTCTAAAACTGAGACTAAAAATCAAATGAAATCTGAATTCAGAGGCATGGAATACAACACTGTAGCTCCCATATGCTGTTACTTTGAGGAAACATTTCAGAACAGTACGGTTGAGACTGACTGGCATTAATGTTCTCCTTCCAGAAAAGTGTTTTATGTTTTTGTCAGTGGGTACAATGGGTCCTATATCTCTTTCTGAAAACTGCTGCCCGCTTCCTTATTCTTTCCTGCCATGCCTTGATGGAAACAAATGAAGGGAAGCTGAATAGTGAAACAAAAGATAACAGCGTTCTCTTGATGGACAATATTTTCTCTTATACCCTTCCCTTACCACACCTGTTGAGTTGGACCTATGACCTTCAAAGTGTCTCTGAGTCTCTTGACCAATGACTCACCCAGTCATTCAATGCTTATTTAGACCTTTCTACATCATGAGCTCCTCAGGGCTCAATTTGTGTTTACCCCCCTTCAATTCCTATGCATGCCCACGATCAAAACAAAAAAGGGTCTTTTTTATAGCTTCTCATCATGAGAGTCCAGCATCAATTGCTTAACCCTTTTGCATGCTTGAGTGAAGGATTTTTTTTATCAATCAACTCAGTCCCCATTTTTAAGTCTTATCAATTACATCTCTACCATCCTTGGCCATATCAACTCTGTACCTTACCTGGCATGATCCTTTTGGCTGGCACTACCATCACCGGACCATCTGCTTAATACCCGGATTCCCAGAGAGGCCTTGCAGCTACTCTCCACATGCAGAGGCTTACTCACTGCGTCCCGAGCCCAACACTGATGGGTTGCATTGCTGGGTCTTCTTCGCTGGTTAGCCTTTACCAGCTTGCTCCAGTCATTTGCAGTTTGCCTTAGGCTTGGACCCAGGTTTTTAGCATTCCTGGTTGTCTTCTGTGCCTCTGCAAGACATGCACTGCTTTTCTCCAAGAGACCGTGTGCTCCCTTCTCTGGGGGTTTATGGTCCTTGGCCCTCTTACTTTTAAATCCGCTGGGTCCCTCAGTGTCCTATCACCTCTCTGGCTCCCCAGCCACATGGTTGCCATCTGGGGATTTCCAAAAGCTGGGGTTTGCTGGCACTTCCAAGTTCTCTCCTGGACAAGTTGGCTGGTGGTGGTAGGAACCTGGTGCAGCTCCTGGTTGGGACAGGCACAGACCTTGTTGCTGCCATGGTCCCATTTGTCTCTGGTATCAGGGTTGGCTTCCAGCTATACCTGGATGAGCCAAATGGCTACTACAGAAGCCTGGCATGGCTCCCAGGTGAGTAAAACAGAGACCCCCATTGTACGTGGGGTCCTGCTCTTTGCAGGGGCTGGGAAGCAGCTCCCTGTTGGTAGCCTTGAAAACTATGAAAGGACATTTCATAGTTTTATAGAGGGGATTTTTTTTAAAGGATCCACATGCTTTCACTTGTGGCTTACAAAATAGTGATTTAAATGACTGAACACATTTGTATAAAAGCCCTGCTTTACAGTTTACTGTTCCTTTCATGGATAAAACAAAATATCTGACAAATATTGCTTTGTACTTTGCATTTAAAAAACCAGTTGGTGTTTGCATAATTACTTCACATTATCCAGTCAATATTTTCTCTTTTGGATAGCTCAGTGTATGATGTATAACATAGAAAATAAATTAAGGTAACATGTAAGTGGATCATCTGTATGATTTTAAAGAAAAATCAGGATCATCAGAATCTAGTTAAAAAATTAATACTGGTAAAATATCTTAAATTAAAAGGATGTCTACTAACTTGTCAGCAATCTCAGAAAATGGAAAAGTATGGTAATCGAATGTATTGTTTGTTATATATTTGTTTAGTAACCAACAGATCTATTGGCTTGTAAAGTCTGGTCTGATGTAATGGAGAGCTGGGAGTTAATATAATAAA